CCTTGATTTAAAATGTGAAAACATTATTTTTGTAACCCGTATGTGTAAGTTATTTTAAGAACTGTTAAGCAGTTTCCTCTCCAAACAGAATTATATGCAGGTAATACTGAGTTTTAGTACCAGGAACAACCTGCTTTTGACCTGATGGCATCTGCCAAATGTGAAATGTGCTGCCTGTCCAGATCGTATCCATAAACTCCACTGAAACTTGCTATATAGAATCATTCGTGGTCCTTGAGGTGGTTCATGCTCTGTTCCTTGTCTCCTAGCTGCATATAGCTGCAGCCAATGGTTATCTGCATGCAGCTGAAGTCCTCCTTGACCAGGGGGCAAGCCTGGATGTTAAGGACTGGGACGGCTGGGAGCCTCTTCATGCTGCTGCTTTCTGGGGACAGGTAATGATTTTGTTGCAAATGTCATGTATGAGGGTGACATTTCTTTCTGCCTGGACATATTGTGGAGTACTCTGCAAATGGAAAAAATCTGTACTAGGGCTGGACTCACTGGACAGTGTCAGATGAGGTCCTTGGGGCTCCAGAAAGAACCTGTTGCTGAGAAAGTTCGGGGAAAGTACGTCTGTGCAGTTGAATGGTAGGAACAATGTTTAACATCACAGACGTACCAGAATAATTTGAGGCGAGTTGAGCATGTATGCCATTGCTTCTTATCTTATTCCAACTTTTCAGCTTTGAGGAGGCTTTCCTCCTCAAAAATTTTTTTCATTGCCTAAAATACCTCCGTCAACTTGGCTTTCTTTCCCTTTCTGTAGATGCAGATGGCTGAGCTGCTTGTGTCCCATGGGGCTAGTTTGAGTGCCAGGACATCTTTGGATGAGATGCCAATAGGTGAGTTTACTAAGCTTAAAAAAAAGAGATTGCCAAGAAAAGCTTTTCCCCCTAAGCATGCTGAAATCTTCACATGGTGTGAATGGTACCACATTTGAACCGTCTGATTAATGGCTTGGTTTGTGTGTGCCATAGATCTGTGTGAAGAGGAGGAATTCAAAGTATTACTTCTGGAGTTGAAACACAAACACGATGTGATCATGAAGTCTCAGATGAGGCATAAATCCTCCCTGAGTCGAAGGACCTCCAGCACTGGCAGCCGGGGGTAAGTGCGTTGTTCCCTGCAGGTCACCCGGTGCATTAGCTTGGCCACCCAGATGTGGTTGCGCCCTGGGGTCGGTGTGTGGAGAACAACCCGTCTGTCCTTTCTGAACAAGCTCTGAAAGGCAGAAGCTGACTTTCGGTTGCTGAAGGCAGAGCTCCTTTGAAGAGTGGTTCTTTCACTAGAAAGAGGTGTTGTTTTTCAGGGGGGGAAATGGCTCTGCACTGTTGTGGTTTAAGAACTGCTCCGAACAGAGAACCAAGTGGTGAGAATTTACCCTGTTAAACCACTGATACGGGTGTCTGAGAATCACTGCTTCAAACGGATTACCTTGAGCTTCTCAATAATATGTCTCATGGCCGAGATACTGTGTTCAGAGATAGTTTGCACAGGTCTTTATGTTTACTAGACACCAAAGCAGTCCTGCAGACCACAAAACTCACTAAACAGCCTGTGGGCCCTTTCCCTCTACATTTACTCCACCGGTTGCAGAGTAGATCCATTAGGTGAGCTCTATGAGATCTAACGTGAATTTGCAGTACTACTTTAAAACTCCTTAAAATTCCTCCCACCTTTAATATCCACATTAGTGTCTTTGCGTTGCGTGGGTGCCAGGAAGCTAAGTTCACGTTCCATTCCAGTGGGAGAGGCTGTGAAGCATGAGGAGGAGGTGAGAAGAGCTACAGGGTAAGAGGAAACGTCATGTCCTGCTCACAGCTTCGATGCCCCTTCTCCCTGTCCTGCAGGAAGGTGGTGAGGAGGGCCAGCCTTTCTGACCGAACAAACCTCTACAGGAAGGAGTGCGAGAAAGAGGCCATCGTCTGGCAGCAGCTGGGGGCAGCAGAAGAAGGAAGAAACTCGGGTCTCATTGGAGAAATTGGGGAGACTCGGTCTGACCAGGAGAATACAGACCCCGTAAGGAATCTGTTCTGTATTATGGGAGTCACTGAGGAGGGCTGGTAGCGCAGGTTCAATAACAATGGGTGCCCTGGGATGGAAGGTGGCTGAAAAACTCGTAAACCTCATCCATCAGATGTAAGCAAAAGACCAAATTCTCATTTGGTATGAACTGGGGTATCCCACTCATGTGGAAAGACTGTTTTGGATTTACAGCTGCATAGTTTTGAGATACGGCCCTAGTGAACCAGGAAGTTCGGAAAAAATAGCGTGTGCATTTCCCTTTACAGCTAACAAACTGGTAATCACAAAAGAATTGTAATCTTGTTTTGCAGTTATTTGTTTTTAATTCAGTTACTGTCATGTTATATTAATATGCTTATCTCTCTATATTTTTTTTTAAGTGAGTCCTTCTGAGTTAACGTTCCATGTTCCTGGTTGGGAGCCAGCTCCTGGCTGGGGCTCACAGCATTATAGGGTCCTGTTAGTGGGTCAGTTCAATGTTTGTGCTGCAGTACCTGTCTGGTGGAAGGGCTTAGTGTGAGCAGGCTTAGGAAGTTGTCACAGGGATGAACTGTGTTACGAGGGACAGGGGAAGATGCTCTTCTTTCATGTCTTCTTGTTACAGAATTCAGTGCTGGAGAACTCTTCCCTCCTTCCGGAGTTAGCAAACAAAAGCACCCAGTGTGACTCTGAAATCCCCCTCCAGAATGGACTCATGGCATCTGCCAGCACTTACCAGTACACCTTTTCCAACGGGGACATTTGGAGTATGCACGCTGACCCTGACAGTAATCCAGGCCACATGCTGCCCTACGGCAACCCCGGGCTCCCTGACACACAGCAGTTCTGGGGTGCCTACAAGGAGCATATTCATCAAACACTCTCCGAACTTAAGCGGCAGCGGGCTGCAGCCAAACTCCTCAATCACCCTTTCCTCAGCACCCACTTCGGCAGTGGCATGGGAGGAGTTGCCGAGAATGGGGGTGAGGCCAAGTCACACCTAATCGGATCCAGGACTTCTCCCTACAGCTCCAATGGGACCTCAGTGTATTACACAGTGTCCAGTGGTGATCCACCCCTCTTGAAATTCAAAGCTCCCATGGAGGAAATGGAGGAGAAGGTGCATGGGTGCTGCAGAATTTCCTAGTCTCGTCTGTTTCTCACCCCAGAGGAAACAAGACGTGGGTGGGCTGGTTGGATCCATCACAGTGGCCAGGTTGTTTGCATTCCAAAGGGAGAATTTGGTTATGGACATCCTGACTGTGGCGGCCTCATTCATCTTGAATTGTACTTTACCCTGCCAATTCCTTCCATTGCAGTTAAATGAGTAATGCGGGTGGAGCAAGGCTCTTAGGAGAGGAAGGGATGCGCATCAGTATGATGTAAAAAGAGTCGCCCTAGTCTTGCTCCCTGGGGAAGAAGGTATGGCGCACTGCCTCCCCATCCTTGGGAAGTCATGAGATGCCTTGGAACGAAGAAAGGATCTGAATTAAAATCTTTGCATCTGAGCCTCTTGCTGTAAGTCACCAGGCTTCTGGAAGGTGACAGTTTAGACCTGAATTTTCACTCTTGGGTGATGCATATATCCTGGCGGGGAGATCAACCCCCACACGGGGTTTGCAAGAGTGGACAGAGCTGTTTTCCGTACAGCTGGATCCAGCACTTACAGGGCCTGAGCAACAAGCAAGCATAGACGCTGCACTTGCTTTAGGAAGTTTGCAAGGTGTTATCTCCTTGCAGTGACAGCTCACCATCAAAAACTGTGCGCTGGTTGGGTCCTGTTTTGCTCATGTAAACTCGTCACTGCAGACTGCCATCAGGTTTTAAGCAGAACTTTTCCTGGAACAGGCTTCACTCAGTAGGCTTTAAAACTGATGTTGCAATAAGGGGCCCTGGCAATAGAATTTTACTGCAATAAAATACTGACAAAGGTCTATATTGGGATAAGTAATTTAAAAACTTTATTTGTACTATTTAGACTCTTAATTTGTTAAAACTGAAAAGACTTTTGCTGATCTCACTTTCCTATTGATTCTGTTTATTTACTCTGTATGCTCAACACAGATACTAGGGGCAGTATGCTTTGCGTTCTCATTTTTCTGGATTTCCAGAACCACAGGGCTGGGGAGGGATGAGGAGGAAAGGCTTGCCAACACTAATCTAGAAATGTCATGAAAGTGTTTCTAATCTCCCTAGATGTTATGACACTTGCGTTAACCTGCAGTCTTTGGCTGATGAATAAATGTTAAGTCATTGCTTTGGTAGTTGAACATTGCAGCAGGGCAGGATATTTTTTTTTGTGTCTGTTTTTCCAGCTCCCATGCTGAAGTCGTTAGCAGTGGTTAGTAGCTGTCAGAAAACTTAAATGCCCCTATGTATAAAGGAGTCGCCTAGCGCCGTGCAGTCCTTAGCAAAGCCTCCCTGCTGTAGAGCGGTTGGCACACCAACACCAGTGTTTTAGTGTAGTTCATGTCAGCTCCGACAGGCTACCTGAGAAACACCAGCATGGTATAACCTGGGGGTTTGGCACTGGCTCTTCAGCAAGTTAAGGCTTTGCATACCTGGGGGAGGTGAAAGGAGAGTGCCCCGTGGGAGACAGCTCCGAGGAACTGGCCACAGTTGAGTTAACAAGTTGTATCTACAGAAGTAACTGTAAATCTTCAACCCTTTTTCTGCACAGAGGGGCTATTGCACACGTAACTATTTGCCTGCATGAATATGTGTCTTCTCCGGCAGTTTAAATTCCAGACTCTGAAAACATAAGCCTGTTTGGGTCTCTGTAAGCCATCAGTGGATTAAATCCAGTGACTTAGGCTGCCAGTCACTGTTAAGTGCTACCCTCTGCTCCCCATCAAATCTAGCCCATCTCTGGAGCTGGATATTTTGTGATACAGGGCTCTGGGCTCCTCATTCTCAGCTCCTCGAGGCAGCAGAGGTGGCTGTGTGTCACCACCACAACCACGCTGTGCGGGAAACACTTTTGGACCTGTGAGGTTATTACCAGGCTGACAATTTACGCTTTTGAACTCTGAAGATACAATTCTCTTCCCTCAGCAGTTTTAGGAACAAATTAGAAAATGGTTGCAGTTGATCTGATTTTTTTAAAACCTCAGTTCAGTTAAAGGCAGGGGGTTTCTTTGTATGTTTTGAAACATTCAGAGAAGTTGGGCTTCCTCCATTATTGAAACGCGTATGCTAAATATAAGACTAGAAAATACTATTGTGCTTGACTTAACCTTAAGGGATTTTAAAAGTCATTCTCTAGGAGAAAGAAGATGATTTGGTAACTGGACAGACTTCACCACATCTGTGTGTGGTTAACACATCTGTGTGGGTCTTCTGATTTCCTCAAGAAAATTATTCTGGGATAACACCAGGTGTAGCCTGGGTATTGCTGAACAGGGAGAGATGATCTTTCAGATGCCTCTGTTCTCCCATAGTGGTGGGGGTTGTCTCTCCACATCCATCCTAATGAGAATTCTGGACTCAGTGTAACAAATTTTGGTGCCGCTATCCACTAGGTTGTAAGTGGTGCAGAATTTGGGGCCAGCTGATGCCTTGCCTCCCAGGGAGGGAGGAGTTGGGCCCTTTTCCTTCTCAGAGCAATTTTGTGCTATCAAGGGTATTGAATCCTACCGAACTCTAAGCAAATGAAAAGGAGACCGTTGAATGCAATAGTGTTAAGTAGTTTGAGGCTTGCTTTCACTGAGAGTTGTTAATACATTAAAACTGTAGGAAGCCAGTCCATTTTGGACAAACAGCTTTTAGTCCATTGGTATTTCACTCTGTTTATATGTAAAACTCCAGGAACTCATCACTCTAGCTGTGATCTTGAGCAAACCAACAATTGATTTACTATCAGGCAAAAGATATTACAGGTTCGAGATTACAAAACATCCCCCTAATTGGACTTTGTATTGTAATTGTAAAATTGGCTGTAATACAGCTCTTCTGGCTTTAGCACTGTAAGCTCACATGCTCACTGAAGTCTAGTGGCGTCTGATCAAATGTAAGCAATTCTTATTCAGACGAGAGAGTCAGTAATCGATAAATGTTCCAGGATATGTTTCACAGCCATGCCAAGTATTTATCTGTCACTGGCTTTGGGCTGAAGTTGCATCAGAGTGGGACTTGTGAAGGCTGTTGAATAGTGACCTAGAATGGATTTGCGCTTATGTATTGGTGACATTCCGGATATAATGGTCACTGCCTGGGGGGCACTGGCAAATACGCTCAGGGAAGGCGCTGGCAGCTCATGCTGCACGCAGAGTTGTTGGTTGTAGGTCTCGGATGAGCAATTCTGTAAAGTGGATATTTAACCTGCTTCTGGTAAGCTTTGTAGAGACAAACAGGCTTTTGGGGGAATAATAAACACATAGATACTCTTACATGTGCATTGTAGGAGCCTACCTCTAGGAATAGGGCTTTTTATTATAAAATTTAGCAGTGTTACAACAATAGTGGGTTTTTTTACATCTATGTGTTTCAAAGGCCATCCCAGTGGAGAGCTCTGAGGTACATAGCAGAAGGCACTTGGCTATTTCATTGGATCCTAATATTGCTAGAAAGCTGTAGGAACTAGAAATCGTATTGTGATTGGCATATCTAGCACTTGGCTTATTAGAGGAAGATTTGGGGGTTTTTATGCTATACTCAGTGTTTTTAGGCTCAGTAAACATCGAGGTACAGATTCAAGGTCAGATTAGAGTCCCACTTTTGTTAGCAGTAAGCCGAAGGTTGTAGTTGTTCATACAAACTGCACAAAGATTTGAGAACGTGGATGTATTGACGGGTCTATTGTAGGCAGAGCTGCACATGAGAATAACCCTTCTGCTTGCAAAGTCTTCCCGTATGCTGAAGTCACGCTGTTTCTGGCAAACTAACTGGTTGATGAGAGCAGCTTTACTTTCCATGTTGAAAGACTTTTTTTTAGACAGAAAAAAAGGTGTCTCAAAAGAGCGTCTCTGCTTTACTGAGCTCAACCAAGAAAGTCCCAGCACTGAAGTGTTAGATAAGGGCTTAAGTACCATTGCTGGGATCTGTTTGACGTCAGACCTGGATCTGTATTTCACCTACCAAGTGATGCGATTTCAGCCCACTTAGTCTCACTTCTGTGGTGCCCCAGAATCCTAAAGCCCTCCCAATTTTGGGAAGAACTGACTCTAGCTGATGTGATTCTGTACCATGTTGCAGGTGTGGTTGAAGAACCACATGGGTGAGGAACTCCTGGTAGGGAAGGAGAAGCTCATGGCAGGGCAATAGCAATAACGAAGCAGTGCAGTACTCAGTGGAGGCAGTGAATTCTCTAGTTTATTGAGCAGGGTCTTACTTCATGGGGTTGAAAGCACTTAGAAGCTCCCAAATGGCATTACAACTTCTTTTTAGTGCCCTTCTGTTTTAATCTTGGAGCTCTGTTTACCCAGATCCTCTCTGCTGAAACCAAATCAGCAATTCCATGAAATAGGAATATCTTAACCAAGAAAGCAAAAGCACTGGTCTTCAGTGAGCCACAGATGAACTGTTGTCCGTCTGCTGGAAGGTGTTCTCCCTGCGTCTGGATATTTCTGTGCCTTATCATACTTGCTAAAGGTAACTCAGTAACTAGTCTCTGGAAGGTTTGTGGTGACTATGTGAACTGTGCTGTTCTTTAACTTGGAGACTATTTTGCAAGGGGATAGCAGTTCAGAGCATGCCAGATTTTGGAGTTTTCATTTGCTCTTTCAATTTCTCTCATGATCACCGGTTCTCTCTTCCTAAATACACAGGCAGGAAATGCCGAGGGTCTTCATTCTAATTTAACAAATCACGTTGACCTACTTTGTTATAGCAGTTCTCTACAGGCAGAGTCCGTAACACACTTGTAGTAGCACGGTCTAGCCTCTTACTACAGAACACAGCTAGTATTTACATTTTTCTTCTGTTTTGCTTGTGGCTGTACAACAGAATTTGTTGTCCCCGGTTGTTCTTCAGCTTTATTCTGCTGTTTTCATGTTGGCCAAACTGGTAATGGACTTCTCAGTCCCATCCCCCCCCAGTTCGAGTACCACTGGGTTCTTCAGGCAACATCTGCCATGGCACGATTATGACCTAGAATGTTTTGCTATATTTCAACTGCGGAAGCTGTAGCAGAGGAGACTCTGCTCAAGATACCTGTTCCCAAACTTACACCAATGCAATTATCTCCACCTGCAGCTGGAGGACAGATACGGGTTTTAAAACAGTGCAGATGCAGCCTTAGCATTGCCACCTCTACGTCTTCAGCCTGTGGATTGCAGTGTGAGAATGGGCTACAGTGGTGTCGGTAACCCTGGTACAGCTCGGTGTGACTGCTGCATGTACAGGATATTAACAAACGACGGCAAGCCTTCCGCAATAATTCCTAATTCCATTGATCAGTAGTAAACGATGTACAAATAAAACTTGATTAAATGTATTTTATGTGAAAAAAATAATGTAAGAACTGTATATTGTATTAGCAGCTTTGTGTATAAAATGGCATTTTGGCAATCAGAGTCTAATATATTTAAAACTTTTTTTTAAAAAAAGGATATTTGATATTGTACGGAATTGACTTTATCGCTACTGTAAGTATGAAAAGATGGTTTCTTAACATGTTGAAGCAATGCATAAAATCTTAAATGGTATGTAAAACTCATGCCAAAAGGGTATGTCTGACAGTATTAGCACCTGACTCAGTGTCTTTAATAGAGAGATTGAATTTTTTAATTTAAAAATTATATTAAATTTCTTTTAATAATACAGAAAAATGCCACTGAGTTTTATTTAATTGGTTTACATTTTGGGACTGCCTGAATATCTGCCTCTGCCTCCCCTACAGCCGTTACGTACAGCCAGGAATTGTCTAGAAGAGTAACTCTAGGGTGTCGGTAGGCGCAGCCGCCTGTTTTTCAGCCGGTAGCAGTAATTCCTGATGGGGACAAGCAGGAAGGCCAAAACCTTAACTGCCTTTCCTGGGTTTTGTCACGTCCGAGGCGTTCGTCAACACGCTTCGTTAACAGGGTCCTTCTCGGGGGGAGTTGATTCGGGC